GTCCTAACCACTGCTGGGGAATTCTGGGAGTTGAAGTCCGGACATCTTCAAGTTGCCAAGGTTGAGAAACACTGGACTAGAAGACCTCCGAGGTCCCTTCCGACTCTTTTTTTCCCTGATTCTTCCCGGGACGGAGGCTGAGCCGTCTCCATGCAGTGCCGGCCTCCTCCCTTCTTCTCCTGCCTGGAGACCCCCCCTCGCCTGCACTTCCCAGGGGTGCAAAGGGGTGGGACTGAGAATTGAAGCGGAGGGGGGGCAAGGGGGAGGATGGACAAGTGACCTTGGTCTCTGCTCTTATGACCGTCTCTCTTTGCAGCCCAAGATCGTGGAGGCCCTGCTGGGCTACGAGATCGCGCAGGCCGCCTGTGGCGCCTCCCACGTCCTGGCCCTCTCCAGCGAAGGGGAGGTCTTTGCCTGGGGCCGGGGGGACAATGGTGAGGAGCCCCCCCCGCCCGCCTTCCCCCAAAGGGTTGGCCTGCTGCTGCTGCTGCCGGCCTCCCCTTCCTTCCTCAGGGACCCTCGTGGGGGAGCTGTCCAGAGCCCCCCACCCCCTCCAGCATCCCCCTTTCCTCCACCTCCTAGGGCGCCTGGGCCTGGGGAACCAGGAGCCCCACAGCTCCCCACAGCTGGTGCCCCTTCCCGCCGGCTACGAAGCCCAGAAGGTCCTGTGCGGCATCGACGCCTCCATGATCCTCACCTCCGGCCACCAGATTCTGGCCTGTGGAAGCAACAGGTGAGGCTCCCAGCGAGGCCCTGGCAGGAGGCGCTGGGGGGGGTGGGGGTGTCACCCTAGGACCCTGAGGGCAAACCTATGCGCCACAGGGGGACATCGGAACCACAGCTGCCAGCACCCGAGCCGTCCTCTCCGGCTGATTTTCGGCCTTCCGGGGGCTGGAGGAGGCTGTTCTGCCCCCCCCCCAGGAGTCAGGGAAGCCTTCAATATTTCTTTCCTTGGGCCCATTTTGCGCCCTTCCCAGGCTCCTCGGGTGGGGGGGACTGGCCTCCTCCTGCCCCCCCCCCTAGAAAATACCATGCTCAGCTCGGAGGCAAGTAGTGTGGCGTGCATGGGGGGGGGAGAACATGGGTGTGTGTTTGTGCATGCGCATGGGGGGTGGGCTCCATTTGCATATGGACATGTGCCATTGATTGATTGATTGATTGATTGATTGATTGATTTTATATGCACAACTCAAAACCAGGGAAAGAGGGGTTACAGACAGAGTTAAAAATTGCTTCTTTGGCCCTCAGCAACCAAAAGCTTAGCCCCCCCCCCTCCCTGGGACTCAGGTTATGCCCCCCCACCCAAGAGGCTAGAACCTCCCCCCCCCAAATCTGGGTTGTGGGGGAGCAGAGGCTGAACTGGCAGCTGAGGGCCAGGCGGGCCGGGGCAGAGGGCTGAAGGCGAGAGGGGGCAGCCGGACACTGACTCTCCCCCCCCCCCCCCCCAACCAGGTACAACAAGCTTTGCCAGGACAGGACGGTGTCCCCGGGGGAGCCCCTCCCGGCGGTGGCTGCGGCTGCTGCTGACCAGGTGGAGGAAGTGCTGACCTT